CCCAAGTGGCAGAGTATACATCTGGGGTCTAACCTGAAGCAAGGGTGTGAGATAGCAGACACCTGGGGGCCTGGGCTAGGGTGGAGGCTGCTATGATGGTGCACGAAAGGGCTTCTGCATGGAGACTTCAGATGAGGGCACCCAGTGGCTTCCCCAGCCTCAGGCAACTGTGTGCTATGACCTGGGTGGAGTGGACAGGACAGACACACAGGGTGTGCCATAGGACAGTTATGGCAGCTGGATTGTGACTTGGTGGCCTGGAGGGATATGGACAAGCAACGGGACTGGACTTCTGTAGATTGGAAAGGAGTTTTAGGAGAACAGCATTGTTCTTATGGGGAAGACATGAGCTAACAGACATTTTGTCAGGATGAGAGGGATGCAGTCAAGGTGCGGACCATCTGAATTCTTAAGATGCTTGAAGAAAGGGTGCCTTGCTAAGACGATGAAGGTCAGGAAAGGCTGAGCTGGTGGGGGTGGGGAGGAACTTATCCGGACCGGGCCTTGATGGAGGATGGGGCTGAGTCTTGGAGTCTCCAGCCCAGATGATTTGAGGTCAGAGGAGGCTCTTCGAGAGCCGGGGATGTGGTGCAGCTGGCAGAATGTTGGCCTAGCTGCACGAGGTCCTGGGTTTGGTCCTCAGCATCACATACACCAGACATAGTGGTGTATGCCTGGGATCCTAGCCCTGGGGAGACAGAGGCAGGAGGATCAGAAATGCCAGGCTATAAAGTGAGTGTGAGCTCAGCCTTGCTTATGAGACCCTGCCTCAAGGAGAAACAAAACAGGTCCCAGAGAAAATTCTTTCCCAATGTCTGTTGCTTCCTGGCTGACTATGGAGCAGCAACTTTCTGGAAGTTTTGAGCCTGAGACTGGTTGTGGTCTGGGTCCTGACTAGTTGAACTGATTCTGGGGGGATCCAGACCCCTCAGACACTTGCTAGGTTACTTCATTTCAAGGCCAAGCAGGTGGTAGAATAGTGGGAACCTCAGTCTCTCTTGTAGATGGTCTGCCCTGGACCTGTTCCCTAAGTCTTTGCGACTTACTCTGTAAGGGGCCTGATGCCTTCCTTCTGGTCCCCTAAATGTGTCATCTGCCCCCCAGAGACTTGAACACGGAGTTCTCAACAACTGATGTGGTCTGGGTTGAGCATACCCAGCTGTCTAGCCACACCCACCACCACTGCATCCTCATTGCTGAAGGTAAAACAGGAGGATACCAAGGCCCAGCCATTGCGGGCTATGATTTTAGTGCTTGGGAGACAAAGCGGTGTTTTGCTTTGTGTTTTGTTTGGTTTTTGTTTGTCAAGATTGGGTTTCACTGTGTAGTCCTAGCTGTCCTGGGACTCGCTCTGAAGACCAGACTGTCCTCAGACTCAAGGAGATTCACCTGCCTGCTCTGCCTCTCAAGTGCTGGGATTAACATAGCCCAGCTATGTTTTGTTTTTCCAGCCAGGGTTTCTCTGTGTAGCCCTGGCTGTCTGGGAACTCTCCCCGTAAACCTGTCTGGTTTCAAACTTGGAGGTTTGCCTGCCTCTGCCTCCTGAGTGCTGGAACAGTGTTTTCAAGCTGTGTCACTCAGCCTCCGGCTCAGCTACAATGAGGTGTTGAACAACTCCCAGGCAATGCAGATTAGGGTAGGAGAGGGGTCTGACAAGGAATGGATGGATCAATCCTGCTTGGGGGGAGGACAGGGTTAGTAAACTGATCATATCTCTCTCTTAAGACACTTCCTCTCCAAGTTGTCCCTGTCCCCTGCACCTTCCCTGCACATCTTGAGGCCAGCGGACTCTCTTGAGAAGTCCCCCAATTAGCATCTCAGAGGCAGCCCCCTGTCTCAGGGTTTTTCAAAGGACGTTGCCAGTGTAGAGACCAATGTTTAAGAACACCGCCTTAGGGCTGAAGAGATGGCTCAGAGGTTAAGGGCACCGACTGCTCTTCCAGAGGACCTGGGTTCAATTCCCAGCATCCACATAGCAGTTGTTTGTAACTCCAAGATCTGACACCTTTACACTGACATACATGTGGGTAAAACACCAATGCATAAAACACCAGTGTACATAAAATAAAGATAAATAAGTTACTGTTAAAAAGGAAGAACACCTAAAAAAAAAAAAAAAAAAAAAAAAAAAGGAAGAACACCTCCTTAGGAGCCAGGCTTGAGCAGGCTCATGCTGCTGGGTGGCCCCTGCTTGTTCAACAACCTCTCTGAGGCTCAGTGTTCTCCTTCAACTAGAACAATCATTTCCTACCAGGGCTACAAGGATTAAATTACATAATTTGGGCAAATTACTCAATATGGAAAAACAGCAACTGACATAATTATGCTTACAATATCAATCTTGACGAGCGGAAGGAACACTTTGTTTAGGACTTAATAGGGGTTGTTTAAAAGGTGCAGAGGCAACTGTGGAGCATGGCTCAGGGGCTAAAAACCATTAAGCCGAAATCCTCTCTCAGCATGACGGCTTCAGACCGCTTCATACTGCCTCCTCCGCGGAAGTTCCAAAATGAATGTCATTACCATTGGCGTGGGAGGTTAATTCCAGGTCTGTGTGGGGCTTCTGCTCAGGAACGCAGTGGGGCTGGCACCTTTTGGCCCACTTATGCTTCCAGAGAGGCTGCACGCCTGTAATCCCAGGGAGGTGAAGGCAGGGGGATCAGAAGTTCAAGGCCACCCTGCAAATTGAGTTTGAGGCCAGCCCACTGGATGAGGAGAGGGTGAGGACAAACACGCTGTGATGGAGAGTCTGGATAAAATGTCGGTGCATCTGCTAATTGTCACATTTGTTTTCTCACTACAGCCTCAGAACAGCGAGAATAGTGTTCTCTCCATTTTATAGATGGGGAAATGGATGCACGGTGCAATCAAGTAACAGGGCTTCACTGCTGCCCAAGGCAGGATTTGAACCCAGGTCAGTTGACCGTGCACACTCTCTCTCCCTCTCTCTCTCTCTCTCTCTCTCTCTCTCTCTCTCTCTCTCTCTCTCTCTCTCTCTCTCTGTGTGTGTGTGTGTGTGTGTGTGTGTGTGTCTGTTTCTGTTTCTCTGTGTGTGTGTCTCTGTCTCTGTGTGTGTGTTTGTCTGTCTCTGTTTCTATGTGTGTGTCTGTCTGTCTCTCTCTGTCTCTGTGTGTATGTGTATGTGTATGTGTGTGTGTCTGTCTCTTTCTGTCTCTGTTTCTGAGTGTGTGTCTGTCTCTCTCTGTCTCTGTCTCTGTGTGTACATGTGTGTCTCTCTCTCCCCTGCTCTACTGTGCCACATGTCATGATGCAGGCCACATGGCTGTCAGCAGTCTGCAGAAGATGATATGGAGATTTAGGGGGCTGCTGTCCCCACAGCAAGAGGTATAGCTAAGGGCTGGCTGGCTCAGGCTGGCTTAAGAACAGAAAGAAGAACAAACCACTTTGGCCAGGGAAGCAGATCAACAGCCATCATCAGAGAAGCTTCCTCCTGAAGCAGATGGGAACAAATACAGACAAGGTGAAGAGAGTGAGGGACCTTGGAACACTCAGCCCTAAATGGCAGGTCTCCATCAAATCCTTCCCCAGGGCTCAGGGAACCCCACAGAAGAGGAGGCAGAAAGAGTGTAAGAACAGGGGATGGAGGACACCAGGGCCCCTAAATCAGCAGGATCAACACACACACACACACACACACACACACACACACACGAACTCACAGAGACTGAGACAGCGTGCACAGGGCCTACAGCAGACAGGGTTCTGGAGCTGAAAAGAGAAGTGGACACAGGCCCCCATCTCTAACCCAGAAGCTATGTCCTATTGATCACCACTTGCAAATGAAAGGATTCCTCCAAGGGAATCTCACTGGGGAAACAAATTTTTCTTACGGGTAGGCTGCATGCCTACAGAAAACGATCTCAGTGATATCCATCTTTGGAGGTTCCCTGTCTCATGATGTCCTGTCAGGGCTATTTTTAAATTTTTTATTTAAAAATTTATTTTATTTTATTTATATTTTTTCTCTTTTTACTCCATAGGTCCTTTTCATGTATAGTATAACTTCCAGTTTAGTGTTTTTACGGGATTCCTGAGTGTGAGAATGTGTGGGTCTTGTTTCTTGTACCTTTTCTTGGGCTCCTTTCCTTCTGTTGGTTTGTTTTGTCCAATTCTGATGTGTTGGTTTTTCTTTTTTCTTTCTTTTTTTTTTTTTTTGGTTTTTCCAGACAGGGTTTCTCTGTGACTTTAGAGGCTGTCCTGGAACTAGCTCTTGTAGACCAGGCTGGTCCCGAACTCACAGGGATCCACTTCTCTCTGCCTCCCAAGTGCTGGGATTAAAGGCGTGCGCCACCAACGCCTGGCTTGGTTTTTCTTTTCTCTTTTTTCTTTTCTTATTATCGCTTAGGAGCCTGTTTGTTTTATAATGAGACAGAAACATGGTCGATTAGGAAGGGAGGGGAGGTGGGGAGGATCTGGGAGTGGACAGAGGGAAAATCATGATATAATATTTGAGGGAAAAAACTATTTTCAACAAAAGGAAAAATGGGAGAAGAGGAGGAGGAGGAAGAAGAGGAAGAAGAAGAAGAGGAAGAAGAAGGAGAAGAAGAAGCACAAGTCAAACATACATAAAGGTTCTCCAAAGCCATGGCCCTGGGAAAGTTTGCTATCTGGAGATACCAAATGGCTTAGTATCTCAAGATACTGGCACAAAGTGGGTGCTGGATGTATTGTGCCGCTTGTGGAGTGAGCTGCTCTGGAGTCTGGATAACCTAGATGGAGCCTGAGCCAGGGCAAAGGTGGAGTGCTTCAAGGGAGGGGTCGATGCAGATTATGTCAAGGTGGGAAGGGAGGTTGATCCTGAGTATTCCCAGATAATATCAGTGGAGTGGAGGGGAGAGTTAGGAATTCAAGTGGGGATTCATTAAAGGGCTGATGGGAGAAAGGGGGGTGGGGTAGACATGGGCCACCTCCACCCAGTGCCAGATTGAAGAATATAAGTCCCTTGAAAATCCAGCCTGCAGGAGCCTAGGGTGGGACTAGACCCAGGTGGATGCCATAGGGAAAAAATGGAGCGGGATTTTTATTCCACCACCTCATTACCCACTAGGAAGATCATTTTGGGAACTACTAAGCTTCCTCTTCTACAGGCTAGACCGTGTCTGCCACTCTTCTACAGGATTCTGTGGCCAGTTGGGGATCTAGCCCTGTCAGTTGGTTTGTCCCCTGGAAGGACTCAGACATCACCTGAACCTTCATTCCAACTTTCCTCGATCTCTCTGTTTTACCTGTCCACGCCACTGGTTACTCCTGGAAGGCATCTCTGATTCTGACACTTGGCTACTCAACTCCTTACACAAGCCCTTGATGCTCAGGGCCTCCAAGAAGCCAGACATGCCTGTCTTCCTGTCTCACATTGCTCCCCCACACAGCAAGAGCTTCATGCAATGACTGAAGAGCATGTGCACCTTCTCCAAGGAAGACATGGCATGCCTCTAGGCCGTAACCCATGCTGCTCTCGCTGCCTAGGATGCTTGTCCTTGTGTCTGTTGAGTGATTGCTATCTATGCAGCCGAATCATGAGAGGAGGGCAAAGGAGACTTGGTATATGGCCAGCACATCTTGCCACAAACATGGTTCTCATCCAAGCTGGCAATCAGACCCCAGAGCCTCAGGGGTGGGCACCAGGCCACCATGAGGAGGCGAAGTGGCCAGGCAGGACTCACAGCACTGTTTCCCAAGCTGCCAGAATTCTGGAATGTGTGGTCCCGTCCTGTCTCGTCTGTGGTTAGGGAAATATTCAGCTGAAAATAAGCACTCCTCATTCCTAATGAGGAATGACATCAGGGACCCTCTGACCCGCACAAAAGAAACCCAAGCATCAGCCTGGTCGCATCTACCTCCAGAGGTCCACCTGCACCATGCTGTGTGACACCTCATTAACCTCTCTGCCAATTTGCTTCCACTTAGGAGAGAGTGGCTCCTGCCGGCTCAGACACACAGATCCCATGGGGACCCAGCCCAGGGTGCTCTGCCCTGCCTCATCTCACTGTCTGCCCTTTGAGCACACCTCCTGTGGCTGGCTGTTCTTCCTATGTACTGGTCTATAGCTCTGATCTCGCCTGGCTAGAACTGAATCCTCTAAGCAAGTCCAGCTGCCACTGTCCCCAGGTTCTGTGCCTTCCCCATCCCTCCCAGAGAGAGCCCTGCAGAGGCCTGGGGGCCAGCTGTGGGCGGGCTCCCTGCCACGGTCCTCTAGTGAGGGTGTCCACTGTTGTCACCCATCCCCCGAGGACATTGGTAGTTTTCCTCTCTTGCTTGCTTTTGGGGATGGCACTAAGTAGCTGACAGGGCAGGTTTACACCTGGGAAGGGACTAGAGCAAGGACTCAATAGATGGCCAGGGTCAGGAGCCATCCAAGGGTCACATTAGGGCTCGGTGCTTTGGTCTATAATGGGCAGGGCTCACCAGGGTTAAGGTTTGGGTTCAGTCAGGGACAAGGCTGAGGTCTGCATACAATCAGGATCAGGGGTTAGTTTATTATATGAGCCAGGAGCAGGGATTAGTATATATGCTTAGTGTTCAGACTCCAAGACCAGAGTCCAGTATAAGTTTATAGCCAGAACTAATTTCAGCCTGTGAGCATCAATTCTTACCTGCTACCTAGTCTCCATTCTGACTAGGATCAGGGCTCAGCTAAGCACAAGGGTCAGGGCCGACCCTCCTACCAAATCAGAAGTCTGTGAGAAGGGCTGAGTCCTAGGTCAAACTCAGCCTTAGGTTCTAACTAGGGGGAAACCTGAAGCCAGGGTTGGTCCACGCTTATAACCCAGTATAGCCCAGGCACGGGAGGGATGAAGGCTCAATGTGAAACAGGATGGAGGCTCAACCCACATTTGTTTACCAATTCCTCTTATGCACATAACAGAGCAGACGGGGCTTCAGAAACACGTAACTCCTAAAATGTGGGTACCTACTATCAACTGACATCTATTTGTCACACCAGCTTTCTCTAGGGAGCCACCTCCGGGAATCCAGGGCACTACCAGCCTCCTGCAGGGGAGACTCCTGGCTCCAGGGTGGTTAAGGAAGAATCTGTGGGAAGAAGAGGAGGGATGGGGTGCGTGCCCAGTCCCCTGCCCAGGCTCTGCAGCCCCCTTGGAGCGGGCGTGTTGACAGGAGACTTAATGAGACCCAGAGGGAGGTGCTCTCTCAGGGCCACCTGGAAGCAAGCCCGGGTTGGGAATTAAATTAAATGTTGGTGTATGTCCCAACAAGCACAAAGGCGCGAGCCCGGGCCAGGGCCCAGTCACTGCGGGAGTTTGCCATAATTACAGGGCAAAATAAGTTTCGGAACTTGCATAACTCCACTAAGTGGGCCCTGAGGCTTAGGCCGAGTCACTCTCCTCCAGAAAACACTTGCTCCGCGAGGCTGCACCTGTGAGCCACCGTCAGTTCCTCAGGTGACAGGGTGGGAATGGGTACAGAGCAGGACCTTGGCTCTTGTCCCTGTCTTGTAGAGGGGCCAATAAGCAAAGGTCACTTGTGTAAGACATGATAAGCACCAGGCTCCATGCTCTAGTCCTATCTCCTGCTCTGGGAAGAGCAGCAGTACCTCCCCCCATACTCCAGGGGAAGGGGACCCACACACCGGGCAGAGAAGTCTACAGAAGGATGCTGGCTGGACAGGACACAGCAGGAGAAAAGGAGGGGTCCAATGCTGAGTACTTACACAGGGCTGGGGAGGTAAGGGATGGGGGGTGAGGGTTCACCGGGGCTGGGAAGGTAAGGGATGGGGTGAGGGCTCACTGGAGCTGGGGAGGTAAGGGATGGGGGGTGAGGGCTCACCAGGGCTGGGGAGGTAAGGGATGGGGTAAGGGCTCACTGGGGCTGGGGAGACAGGGGACAGGCATGAAGTCTCACCACTGAGGCACCGGGAAAAGGCTTCTGCAGCTTGACTCCATTTCATCCTCACAGCATCTTCAAGATCTTTCAGGTGGTAAACAGAGGCTCCGGGAACTGCAGTCGCCCGCCCAAAGCAACAGCCCAGAAGTGGCCCTAAGATTAGACCCTAGGCTGCATTCTGCTTCCTGCCTCTTAAAAACAAAACCAAAAACCTATCACACTGATGCTCTGCCTTTCTCAGAACATTTGGCAAGACAACGAACAAGGTAAGTGATAGAAGACTGTTACTTCTCCCCCCACTTCACAGGTGGGGAAACTGAGGCAGAGAACAGCAATGTAATCTAATTCATTCTCAATACTCCTCCACTCACCCTTGTTTTAGGTAGGTCCCAAATTTGCCGTGTGGCCAAAATAACCTTGAAGATCTGATTCTCCGGTCTCTGCTTTGCAAGTGCTGGGATTATTGGCATGTAGCACCATACCTGGCTTATGTGGTCCTAGGAGTGAACACTGGGCTTTGTGTATACTAGGGAAGCAGTCTAGCAGCTGAACCATATCCCCAGCCCTGGCAAATGTCTGCAAACTCAGGGCTTGGGATGTGGAAACAGGATGATCAGGGGCTCAGGCTCAAGGTCATCCTCAGCTACATAGAGCTAGCCTGGGCTACATGAGACAAGTCTAAAAAAAAAGCAGCAGCAGACACACACACACACACATACAAAGATATTGCAAAACAGAAGAGCCAGGCATGTTAGGTATAAGTGGCACATGCCTTTACTTCTAACTCTTGGGAAGCAGAGGGAATCGGTAGATCTTGGCGAGTTTGAGGCCAGCCTGGTTTACATAATGAGACCAGGTCACCAAAAAGAAGGACAGTTTGGAGGAGGGAGAAGGGGAGGCAGCTAGGGGATGGCTGGCAGACGTAGCGTCACTAATCACAGGCACGCTTCCTACCTGGTCCTCCTGCCTCCACTTCCTGTACACCAGGATCACAGGCGTGTGACACCATACTCAGTTTTACACAGTTCTGGGGACTGAACCCAGAGCTTCATGTATGCTAGGAAGATCCCCTGTGCCCTGGTTCCTCACAGCATTTCTTTTGTCTGGTTTTAAATCGAGTGGATTGTTGATATTTATTTTTAGATAGGTCTCACTGTGTAGCTTAGGCTGTCCCAGAACTTACTTTGGTAGATCAGACTGACTTTGAACTCAGAGATCCACCTGCTTCTGCCGCCTGAGTGCTGAGATTAAAAGTGCGGCGGCATCATGCCTAGTATTTGTTTGTTTTTCAGATATGCCTTTCTCTGGCTGAGATTTTCACTCCCAATTAATGTCTTTCTTAAAGAAAGGGTTTACTTATGTATTTCATGTGTACGCCTGAGTATGTGTATATGTGTATTATGCAGATGCTAATGGATGCCAGAAGAAGGCATTGGATCCCCTGGAACTGGAGTTCCTGATGGTTTGTGAGTCACTTGATGTGGGTGCTGAGAACTGAACCCCAGTCTTCTGCAAAGGAACAAGCACTATTGCTGAGCTACCTCTCCAGTGCCCCGATTAATAAACACAATTGCTTCTTTCCCAGCATGGGTGGTTGTTGATGCCCTGGTTACTCCATGGTATCGTAGCCAGGTCAGAGGCAGCTGGACAGAGAATGGGAAACAGGCTTCTGGATGAGGGCTGGATGAGGGCTCAAAGTGTAGGAATGTTCTCACCCCTGGCACATGGGTCACTCTGGGTCAAGTGTAGGAAGGTTCCCTTCCCACGGTAACAGCTGGTTATGGATAAGAAAAGATAGCAGTGTGTCCAGCTGGGGCTCATGGGAAGGTCAAAGGGCAAGGCAGAGCAGCTGCTTGCTTGGACCAACCAAGGAGACAGTTCCAGGGCCCAGGAGCCAGTCACACTTATGCCAGGAAGCCTGTGACACACTCCTTTCTGTGACTCCCCAGGATCCAGGAGTCCCCTCCCCCTTCACAGATCTCTGTCCTCCTGGAAGCAGTGACTGGCCCTGTCCCCACTTAGGTTCACTGCTACCAACCTTTGCACCTGTAGGATCCGGTGCCAGGAATGAACATCCTACCCTTTCCCCAACAGACCTTCTTCAGCCCTTGTTGGAAATGCCAAGTTTCCTTTGAGAATATTTTTAAGGAATCTTGATGGCATCTGAGCTCTGTGGTTGCAAATAGGATGTGACTCATTCTGAAGCCAAGGCTAGAGCCAGAGCCCAGCCTGGGTCTCCATGTGTGAATGAATGAGAGCAAACATGTGGGGGACGGAGGGGAGGGTTAGGGGGAGGGCAGGAGTGGTTCGTAAACCTTGATAGCTCAGGAGGCTGTGCCATTGCTTCCCATCTCTGCTGACACCTGGATCCTAGTCCTGGGATGGAAGTGGTCCCTGCAGCATCCCAGCTTCTGCAGCATCCCAGCTTCTGCAGCATCCCAGCTTCTGCTCCCTGCACATGGCTGCAGCCTCTTGCCCCAGAGCTACAGAAGACCACACCAACCCCAGGAGGGTCACGATGGAGCGCTCTGCCCTACATGATGGGGCATCCTGGCTGGAGACACGCTTGTGACCTCCAGTCTGGGGACACAAGAACAGCAACATGTGCTGCAGGGCCCAAGCACCAAGTCCCCAGCCTTATACATTTCAGCCCAAGCCTTGAACTCCCGAATTTGCTGTATCACCCAGTAGGAGTCATTAGGCTCACATCAGCTCCTCTTAAGTAGCTATGTGAACTGGTCCATGAGGGACTGGCTGTCTGGCAGCCTCTGTCATTTCCCTGTCAGCCTAGGATACACTGGCTCTTTCCTACCTCAGGCAACTGCATTGCCTTGAATACTGTTATCCTAGGTCTTGGTTCCTTCCCTTCTTAGGGACTCAGCTCAAACTCACCTCCTTCAGACCTTTCTGACCACCCCAGACACGGGGGGGGGGGGACACAAGTTCAGGTGACGGTCCCTTTGTAACTGCTGTGACAGAAAAGAAGATGTTCCAAAGAGACACTTGTGTTTCTTAGTCCATCAGGCAACTGAAACAATGGGCACCCCCAACATGGGGTTTTCCCCAGAAAAGGAGAAGAAAAAGGAGCCAGCTAGAGGGGAATTTGTCTCCTAGAGATTCCCCACAGTTCTAACAGCTTGCCAGATGTCTTATAGGATGAGACTGAGGCCCAGACAGTGATGGGTCAGTGGTGGGCGGGGCCACCCCTTGAGCAGGTTATCCATGGCTTCTATTTAAACTATCTTGTTGCTTCAGCACCCTGAAGACAGACTTAGGGTCTCGATCTCTCTGTCCCTCTTCGCAATGTGGACATGTTGAATAAATCTCCCTTTCTGCTTTACGCAATTAATTTGGCTCTTTTAATTGGCTTATTAAAGATGGGTGGCTGAACCCAGCTTAGACCACAGGTTGTGACCTCCAAATTCCTATCACCTTCACTACTTAAGGTGGCCTGGGAAGGGGATATCTGTCCTTTGTCTGGCTGAGAGTATCACACTCTGAGTGTGTGAGAGAAGGCCGGGTGTTATGCTGTGGGTTTTGGGCCCTCCATCTGCTGGCTTCTGGTTCTCACCACAGTGCAACCTGATGTTGATTGATGGCCTTGAGAAAATGGCACCGCAAGCCTGATTTTGCAGTAGGAGAAACTAGGACCCAGTGCTGTGGGTGGCTTGTCCAAAGCCACCCTAAACAAAAGAGACAGATTGCAAATCCTGGCTATGTTTCCCCCCTCTGCTTTCTTCCTGCTCAATTCTCCCCCAAGACTGGCTCTGATTCACAAAGCCCTGCCACGGGCCCAGAGGAGAGTGTCTGTGCCCAGGAGGGAGGTCCTGGGACTGTGGACCTTAGGGTGAATTACTGTGTCCTGCCGAAGCTCAAAGGGAGCAGGGAGACTAAAGCAGGGTGACCGACTGGCCCTATTTGTCCTTGGTGGTCTTGTTCTGAGCATTGAAAGGCCTGTTCCCTGGGGTGCCCTCAGCGCTGGGCAGGTTGGGGTGTCAGCTGTGTTCCGGGGAAGGGAAGTTGGGGTGAAAGCAGAGAGGTGGGGGTGAGGGGAGTAAGTGATCAAGAGAAAAGCCTGGGCATGGGGACTAGACCTGGGAGAGGGAGTCGTCAATGCTGAGTATAAGACTAAAGAACCAGGAATCCATGAGATTCATTGGGAGTTGCCACTGGAGGAAGGAGACATTAGAGGAAGAAGACAGCCTGGGAGTGTTCTCCAGAAAAATCTGTGCACACTCCAAATTCACTTGCCCTTGCTTGGCTTGAAGCTCACTAATCTGAGCTATGTGCTGAGGCCCACACCCACAATCCTGCGCTCACGAGGCTGAGGCAGATTGCCAACTGCGCTATGGAGTGAGATTTTTGTCTCAAAACAAAACAAACAAACAAACAAAAAAAACGAAAAATAAGCTGGATGTGGCAGAGTACTATCTTAATCCCGTACTCAAGAGGCAGAGGCAGGAAGATCTCTGAGTTCAAGACCAGCCTGAACAGAGCAAGTTCCAGGACATCCAGGGCTATTACACAGAGAAACCCTGCCTCAAAAAACCAAATGGAGAAAAAAGTATTTCCTGCTCTTGCAGAGGACCCAGGTTTGGTTCCCAGCATCCACATGGTGGCTCACAAGTGTCTGTGACCCAAGTTCCAGATTTGATGCCCTCTCTGAACTCTGTGAGGTCCTACTCACATGTGGTGTACATGCATACACTCAGGCACACACACACACACACACACACACACTAAAAAAATATTTTAAAAGAGGAGGGGTGGGCAAGAAGGCTCAGTGTTTAAGAGCTTGCATTGCAGCCGGGGGTTGGTGGCGAACACCTTTAATCCCAGCACTCAGGAGGCAGGCAGATCTCTGTGAGTTCGAGGCCAGCCTGGTCTACAGAGCAAGTTCCAGGATAGGCCTCAAAACAATACAGAGAAACCCTGTCTCCAAAAACAAAAAACAAAAAACAAAAAACAAAAAACAAACAAACAAAAAAAAACTTGCTTTGCTCTTCCAGACTCAGTTCCAGCACCCATGGCAGGAGGCTCACACCCTTGGTACCTCCAACTCTAGGAGATCCAGCACCTTCTTCTGGACTTCATGGGCACCTGAATTCATACTTGCACATACCCACACACACACATACACATATTAACATAATTAAAAGTAATATAAATCTTTTAAAAAGAAAATAATGAAGTAAATGCATAGTAAAATAAAAATTAGCCAACCAGTCAACCACTGATCTGAAGTGCCCACTGCACCCAGATGGGCAGGACTTTAGTCCCCCACTGGCCTTTCTGCCATGGGTTTTATGGTAACAGTTGTCTAGTCCTGACAATGCTGACTCTTCCCTCAGGCCTGCAGACATCATGGGAAACTGCAGTGGGGTCATGTGGCTTGCCGTTGCTGTCCTGATTTTGTGCCAGGTCCTTTTGGGTCAGCTCCCACTCAGCTTTGCATATAGGCATGTGGAGCTTTTGATAAAGTCTAGTACAGAACTTTAATGCTAGATCCACAGGACCCGGCCTTGCCTAGTCTCAGTCTCCTTCAAGGCTTAATAACGATACCTATCAGCCTTCATTGTGGGAAACTCCAGACCGCAGCAGAAAGGAACAGGGGAGGCACTCAGGTTCCTGGAAGACCCCAGACTGTTCCCAGAAAACCCTAAAGTATTCCTTCTGGATTCTAAGCCCTTCTCTCTCCCTCATGGTTTCTTCCTATAGAGATAAGGCAGCCTTCCAACCCCTGGAGAGGGAAGCTGATTTCTGTGCATAACTCTTTCTTCTCCATTTTTTGGCCAGCAAAGCCTTTCTTTGTCTCCTGACCCTCCCCTGTGTGTCTCTCAGTGGGATCAGCTTCTGAGCCTGGGTTTGGTGTCAGACGTGGGTGCAGTCTCTTCTACCGTCAAGCTGGAGAGCAGAGATGGGGCCAACTCTCAGGCTCGCACGGCCTCAGGCTCCTGACACAGTGGGTTCTTTCTTAGAGTCTTAGAAAGAATTTGGTAAGAAAACACCAACAGTCACCCGTGACTCAGACTCAACCCTGCCGGAGGGGCTTTGTGAGGGGCAGGCGGGCCAGAGGGAGAGAAGCCCAGGCTCTAGTTTTGTTTTTCTTTGTTTTTGGCAGTGCAGTCATAGAACCCAGGCCTGATGCATGCTGGGCAAACACACCCCACACTGAGCTGCACCCCAGCCCCAACCCCCAGGTATGGGGGCAGGTTAGCCAGGAGGTGCTCCCTCCAGGCAAGCCTGCAATTTAGGGGCATTGAAGGAAGATTCTAGCTGGGTTCTTGACCTACTCAGCAGCTTTGTGTCAGGGAGGGGGGTAGGGTAGGGGTGAGGTAATAGGGAAGTCCTAATTGGAAGTACTCAGAGAGCCTTATGCCTCCATCAGTCTTTCCAGTAGCCCATTTTTTCTTATCTTTTGTTTTTCTGAGACAGGATTTCTCTGTGTAACAGCCCTGGCTGTTCTGGAATCCCCTCTGTAGACCAGGCTAGCCTCTAACTCACTTGTCTCTAGTAGCCATTTTTCTAACCAGAGTGCAAGGTCCAGGGAACTTACACAGTCAACCATGTCTTAACTCTTTCAA